CAGCAATAGGGCCTGTCGAGAAGGCACTTCGAGGTTGAGCTCGCCGGGTCATGAACGTGTAAGATCTGGCCCAGTCTCGGCTTGATCCGGCTTGCAGTGCTGTTGGCCTGATTATTCATCAGAGGCCAATGACGCTGCTCGTCTGCGACCAACATTTAGTGGTCGAGACTGTGTACCGTCAGCGTTGTCCTTGCAGGCGGTTGATATCTCTGTTTACCGTTTGTCGCTCATCACAAGAGATTCGTCGTCGACGGCGCACCTAGTCAGCGTCATCAGCTAGTGTCCTTTTGATGCCTGTAATCAATCCAACGCAAGGAGGGCAGGGCAGGACAGGAACTGGCCTACGTACCAGCTCCAGCCGTACTTTGGGTTTGGGAACGCCCTCTCACAGATCACGAGGTAATCTTGGGTGTCTGCACAGAGAGAAGTCGTGTCGCTGAAACTGCCACAAGGTCAATCAGGATTGGCACCCGTATATCGGAGCAGGTTGACACGGCCAGACCTACGCGTCAGGTTCCGAGGCGTCGTGCTCATCGCGAGAACACTTGGCATCTGTCAAGTCCGTGCCGCTGTCCGAGGGCACGGCCCAATCCGAAAGCCTAGAAGACGAGCTCTCGTCGCCGTCGTCTTCTGACGTCTCCGGTACGCTTGTATCGGTCTTAAGGGGAGGAAGGGAACAAGCGTCCTTGATAGGCGTAGAACTAAGCTGGACCGGCTGAGTCCTAGTTGCCAACATCTCCCCGGATTGCATCAGGCAATGAGGAACGGCTGTGCAAGAAAACGAGATTGTGGGAAGCAATGAGGATGGCCAATTGTAAATGCAGAGGCAACAAGGCAAACGGTTGCCTTCTTTGCATGCCTCCTTTATACAGAACAGGCATCGCCCAGGTGAGTTGCCAGCCGAGATGACCATGTCGTTCAATGGCCATTGGCTCCTCGCTCAATTGCAAGTTGGTGATCGGGGCAGGGGTTCTTCTTCCGGCGTCTGCATGAGGCCTATTCGGCTGCCAGCTGGGCTTCCAACCACACCCTCCCTTGCCACATGCGTGTCGCGGACTATCGGAAGTCAACCGCCCGTAAGACCGGCATCAAGATCGCGAACCGCCCCTTGCTTTAGAGCAGCTGGCCTCGTCCCTTTCGACCCCGAATCTGTGGTTTCTCTCCTCGACCCTAAGCCAACCACCCCATCTCCTCCGAGCTCGCATCCCGGAAGAGCTACGACTTGGGTGCCCAAGACACCCTCCAATGCGCAGGAAGCAGTACTAAGCTCCGGCACACTCAAGCGGAAGATCGGAAATCATCAAAGTAACTCCCCTACTCACATTTCCGACATTATCGACTTGCAAATGAAGAGCATCTCGATGTTAGCGCATGAGATGGTATTGCTCTGAGCCAAGACCAAGCAGCTCTGTGCGGCAAATGAGCAGCAAAGCAAGCGACGCATGACCAAAAAACGCGCTTGCAAAATGGTGGATTACTTAGTTTGCAAGAGGCGACAGTTTTGATGGCCGACCAGGGACTTGGTGGTCAAGATTGTGAGGAAACGTCTGGGAATAATAGTTTTATAATTGTGGCTGAGCCACGCGTTCGGCTCTGCATCAACTGCAAGAAACCCGGCCATAATGCACGAACTTGTCAGAAAGTTACAGTGTCATCTGAGGAAAGCAGCTCTGAGTAGTTTCAAACTTGAGGTGTTGTGGTTGAATTAACTCATATTAAGCAATCCAGGCGCAGAAGAAGTACGCCACTCGTTATGCTGCGCCACTCGTTATGCTGCGCCACTCGTTATGCAAGCACGTTATTACTATAGCCATTCAGATCGATCATTGTATACACTTGGAAATGGTAGAATGGAACAGAAGATAAGTCTATATCTATCATGGTCTCCCTAAGGTGTGGGGCCTTGACGGCTGCTGCCTTGTATGTACATACGGAAGTTGGTGTGTTGGTTGGCGGTTTGACTGTGGCGGCAGCCTTACATTGGGCGCTCCATAGCCAATGGTTAGAAAGTGCACGCCGACAAGCGCAGAACACTTCCTCTTCAGTGACTCTTGCTAGAGCTAAGGAGGGAAAAGGAGGGAAAAGGAGGGAAAAGGAGGGAAAAGGAGGGAAAAGGAGGGAAAAGGAGGGAAAAGGAGGGAAAAGGAGGGAAAAAGGAGGGAAAAGGAGGGAAAAGGAGGGACTGCCGTCAGATGGCCCCAAGCTCTGGTATGACGAATCTCGGGCTCCTTGATCCTCTGGAGGGACAACTAAAAATATCTTGATAACTGTCACGGCGACTGCGCCGTGCCTGCCGGAACCTGCGGTGGGGCCCGACATCTGGGAAGCACGGGCCCTTGTGAGTTAAAGATCCTGCACCTCGCCGCCGCGAGACCTGTTTGTAGCTCTTCGAGCTACGTCTTGACAATAGAGCCTGCCCGTACCTGACGGAATAGAGCCTAGACTGTAGCTTAGCCGAATATCACTGCCATTAGACTACCCGTCTATCACGACCGTGACAATAACGCAATGAGGTCCGGTCCGAAAGGACCTCAGCAAAGGCCTTTTTGAGCAGTGCTTTACGCACGACCCAATAAAATGCCTTCTTTAGTTATGCAATTTCATACCAGACACGATGGAAGTCTTACGGCCCCCCAGTTCCCGGGACGTCCATCTCCCCAAACCCCAAATCCCATCAAGGAGTCATTATCGCCCTGACCATTGAAGATCTCTCTCCTAGTCCGCCCTTGAAGCACTCATGAGACCTGGTATCAACCTGACCGACGACGACAGCCCTCTCGTGCACGGCAGACACAACTGGGACAGCCTTGCGTTTTACCCAATGTCTCTGAGACTGGTGTTGGAGGACGGCCTCTAGTTCTGCTATCTAGGGCTCAAATGTGGTCAGCTAGTCTCTCTTCTATCTCTCATTTACTCACCAATGGAAGAGCTTACCTCTGCCTCGCCCTGGCTGCGCTACGATCGCAATATTGGCGCATCATCCTCAAAGTTTCGATCAGAGAATCAACATTGGCGCTATTGATACTTTCCTCCCAGGTCGTTGTGGTATCGAACTCTACCTGCTCAAGGTCGACAACCATCACTCGCCCGTCATTCACCATTAGAAAGTTGTCTAGTTTCATATCGGTGTAGTGGACTCCATATGATGTCAGAGCACTGAGAGCCTCCTCAAGGCGCTGTCGCAAGTCGTTTTCGGGGAGATCGCGCCATAGTTCGAATAGGGTCTTCCCAACAATGAATGACAAAACCAATGTCGGGGATCCATCATACACCGCTTCGCCATAGAAATGCGGAATAATGGTCCCCTGAATCGGCTTTAAGACGTCGTAGGCTTGCTTCTCTTTTTCGAACTCCTCTTCCCAGTCGGCCTTTCGCTTCTTGAGGATCACTGTCGGTGGCAAACCGAGCAAGGGTGGTGGTTTGAGGTCCAAGCGGTACACCGTCCTGTGCGGATCTAGCAACTCGGCCTTCTCAGCAACGACAAGCTGGCTACCTAGACGAAATTTCTAACAGTGTTAGCACCGATACTTAGGGAGAGGTATACTAGCTAGCTTACTAAAGGTGGCACAGCATTTTGTAGCAGTAGCTCATCATCTCCATACATAGTTCAAGACGAGAAAAATGGTTTAGCAATTCAAATGGTGAGAAGCCTGCGGCCTGATCTGAGGGAAATTTTGAGAGGGGTAGCAACTAAATATTGTTTCGCGAACTCTGATTCAGACCCGTTACCCCGCCAGCCTCCTGCAAGTAGCCGATACATTACTGCAAACAGTTTCAAACGTCGGGAATCATTGCTCGGGCCCCACTGCGGGACTAACCGGTCGGTCAGTCCCGTGGTGGGGTCCCCGTGACGACCGGGGAGCTTAGAAGTGGGATCGTCTACCCCGTAGAGCGCTCGAACCAGCTGGCCCACCCTGCATGGGTGCGTTGGAGGCACCTCGACGCTGCAGCACCTCCGTGCTGCGGTGGGAGTTGCTGGCGCACGGGGGATGGCAGAGACTGGAAGGTAACCTATATGGCGTTACCCCCTGTTCCCGAACCTTACACGCTCACATATCCTACACCTCAACCTTCCATTCCCATCCCTTAATCCTAAGCATCCCTATCCTCATCCCCACCTCCCAGCCTCTCTCTCTACCCACCCCCTAAACTCCGAATCCCTCTCGCTCTCTAACGTAACATTCTCGTCTCGCACCATGTCCAGCGTGTCCCTAATCACCTCAAGATGCAGTCGCTCATCACCCACATGTTGAGGGGTCAGGAAGGGTCTCAAGCGACGCTCAATAGGCCTTCGCTGGCTGTCCCACCGAACGACTCGAATGACGCGCCGTCGATGACGGAGCGGAATACAAATTATGCGCCGCCGATACATCCGATCAACGAGGTTCGCCGTACGCGAATGCAGCCGATCAACGTCAGCGCTAACGGCATTATCTACCAGGCCGCGCTCTCCCCTCGTACAACACGGGACAACATGGTCGCCGCTGAGCTGACCGAGTGGCTGAGGCAGCACCTTGTCCGGGAACGGTTGCAGAATACATCGGCGACCAACGGGGCCCTTAATCTGAACCTAAAGCAGCACCCGGAGGAGCCCTTTATGAAGGGGGAGGACAAGAAGGACCTAAACCCCTCTAGCTGGGACGATTAGTTCAACAACCGGACAAGCAATCTAACCTGATAATACCACATATGCTCTCGAAGCTTCTCGTGCGTTGGAAACTGCATAGAACACACTAAGCATTGGATTTGATCCATTATGATACTGCAAGCCTCGCTGGAAGGTCAGGATCTGGAACGGGAAGTTTCTTGGTTGGTAAAGCTGAACTCAAAAACGTCGTCTTGGATCAACTGGCGCCGATGCCGAACCTAATATGTAGCTAGATTACCATCCCTACTCAAAACGAATAAGATCGCTTCAATGCCTCGATCGGCTCAAGCTTTGGAAGGATTTCTATTAAACTCCGTGCTATTCTCTACTTTAGATTTCAGGCCTGTCCCAGGAGTGGAATCCGCTAGGGGACCTTCGCAATATGGGAGGGACCAGCGTCTAGCCGCGTGCAGCTCGCAACTTGGCCAGTCTTGATACTACCATCCTCCTCCTCCTGGCTGGTTTCCCCTACCTCTCTCAGAACTCCATTAAGCCGGTGTGACGCGCAGTCTAAATCAGCCAACACTATCTCGACCCAGTTTATTGATTGGCCTGATTCAGGCTGCTGGGTGCCTGGTCACGATGCACTCCATCCCCGCCCTTGTTGACCGCGGACATCCAACTGTCCATCATGCGACCCTCCACGATGAGTCTCTGATCAGCGGCAAGCTCGCTTCTCTTTTCCATGTTGATCGATGAGGTGTGCGCCGCGAGTGTATAGTGGACGAATTCCTCCCCAACAAGGCGAATGCCACCCTCCTTGTGCATTTGTGATGCCCCTTCCCTGCCGCTCGTCCTCTTCCCCGACGAAGAAGAGTCTGATGCACCTGCAAATCCGAGCTCACTGGAACCCAGGATGTGTATTCGTTGCTTCCTTCCTGCCCTGTAGGTTACTTTCGATGGATCTCGGCGCCTCTCCCTATCGCCTCCCCCATCCCCAGTAGGCTTCCCATGCAGCTGCTGAGGGGAGGAAGAGGCGTACCCCTGGCCAATACATTCGCCGAGCTAGATGTGGTTGGTCTGCGTGTAGCGGTTTTCATGACGCGCCTCGTGGGGATTCGGGCTAACGCTTGATAAACATCCCCGGCGTCCATTTCTACAGCTATTCCTGCTCCCTACAGCTCGTGGGTAGTGTGGAAACCAAGTAGGCTCCCAACCTGTCAAGCCGGGCTAGCCGGTTTGTACTTGCGGCGTGCACGCCTCCCTGTCAGTCTATCCCGAACGAGCTGGCTGGTGACTGGGGCTGACGAGACTCTTTTTGCCTCTCTTCCTGCTTCTTTCCCTGCAAACTCGCAGATAGTGACACTTGACGAGCACCCCTTCCTCTCACGAATCCAATAGGCTCCCGTGTTTCGGGGAAAAAATCATCCAACGCGCTTGGCCAACCACAGACATTACTGCGGCCTCGGGCGGCGACACCCCATGCATATAGCAGGTATACCGGTAACTATTGCATCTCCCATGTCATAGACGGCCTCCGTTGCCACATGGGTGTTCTTTTCGAACCCTCCTGAGCAGCCAACGTCGCCGAAAGACGTATCCAGCCTCTCCAAGCCAATCGGTAGAGTGCGTATTTAATAGTGCATTGTTCCTGGAAAAGTTGATCCCTGGGTATGATGCAGATATCGACATGGCAGTCCTGATCCTGTATCTGATCCTTGTCAGCAGCTCTGAATTGCAGAATGACGAGGTGTACTGAATCGAAGACGAAGACTTGGGAGCACTTGTAACGATGAGCATATCTGCGTCTCCAATAAGCTTCAAGAAGTTAAGCAGGCGTATAGTACTGACCCTCTCTTCTCCCTTTGGAGTCTCTTCGTCATATCGCCTGGGTCGTCCACATTTTCGGCCGTCTCACTTGCTCAATGGCTGCATCGATGTAGCATTCGTATTGGGCGAGCAGCCTTCACGGTTGAACTGCTACTACCGCCAATAATATTAGGCTGTGCGTGATCACGCTGTGCGCGAAAGATGAATGTACGGTGCCTTTCAATGGTGGGTGTCTGACTCAGGGGTGGGTTCGGTCTTGGCCCTCCCGTCGCTGCGCTGAACCGTCGGGTATATCAAGAGCACGCACCCGATTGTCCCCAGCAAATAGAGCGTTCACTCAAGCCACTACCACTCGCCCGTACCACTCACCCGATATTGGAATGGACCAATTCAGGCATGGCCGGAAGGCAACTCAGCCCACTCAGCCGCAGCCTCAATCCCAGGGCAGTCAGCAACAACGCCCGAGAAGCCAACGAACCGTTCCATTCACAACATTTATCTACTACACTCCCATTCTCAACTCGGTTCTGTCATGCCTCTCAGCACTAGATGCCTCTATCTTCTTAGCTGTCCTTGGTCTTTCATTTCACCCTGACTGGCGAAATACCGTGAAGATGTTCACAAGCCCACTCAGAGACATCCCGGAAGTGGCGCCGTGGATTACGACTATGATCGAGAATGGCCATGCCGCTTTTCTAATTGGGGCGGACTTGAATCGTTGGAGATATCCGCTCACTACATACAGCAATGCACGGTTTCCACTCAGGCTATGGTTGGCGGTTCGAGTCCGTAGGGGTGTCGACAAGGAGCTAACGCGAAGGAAGTTACATGAATCGCAGCAACAAGCACGGCTTGGACTAGGTCCCTATTTCGCTGTCACCGAATCTGGACATGTGGTTTGGGGTCCGTCTCGGCAAACTCGAGGACTTCGGAATGTCCTTACACGTCAGAGTCTCATTCCAATTCGGCAGCAAATTTCGTACAGACTCGGAGGCCACGTGGCACGAGACCAAGACAAACGAGAATAGAGTCCAATTGGTTTGGGCAAGTACTGGCACGGCTGGTACTGTCCCTTTGATTGAGCTATGCCCGACACAGTGGCGGGATCAGTGTCAACCTCGCCACATCGGCTGGCACTATGGTGGAGTTGCTGGAACGGGATGCAACCGTTCTACACCTGGAGCCGTCCTGGAGGAGATGAGACTGGACAAATACTGGCCTGGATACCGCACCGTTTTCCGATGCCGACGTTCTATACATGCAGCCGGCTCCGGCGATACATACAGGGGTCGAAGTCTCTGCTTGTCGTGGAGGCCGGGAAATCAGGACGTTTTCCGTTTGCCCTACCTCAACATAAGGACAATGAGAATGCAATATACGAAATCGGGGCAATACCTACATGGTGAGGATGGCTTCAACCCAAACGCGTACCTTGTTGAACCGGATGATCTTGCTTTGGCCGTCCGATTCGAATGCGCCCCTGGACCGACAGATGTTAGGGACTATCAGGGGATCCCGTGGGTCTAAGGATAGGTTGTGCTGTTTTGTATTGTATAGCAATGCAGTTCAGATAAATTGACACTTTCCATTCTTGTGTGAAAAAACCACGCGATCTCTCTGCAATCTTAAATAGGGTTCTCTCCTCCTCGAGAGGAAGTGTTGGATTCTTTCATGCATGAATTTCTGAATTTACGCGAATAATAGGACTAGGAGGTTTTTTCCCCAGCGGCTCCTATCTTGCCTGCACATTCGTTTACTTCTCCCTCACCCACCACTGTCTCCCGCCCTGCCGCTTCCCCAGCCGCCGGGCCTACGAAAAAGGTGGTAATAGAAAATAAGATCTCCTGTCAGTGGTTGAATGCCCGTCTCCCCGCTGAGGTGAAGGACAAACCCACAGTGCCATTGAATCCCGTGTGTCGTATCGCTGTCCCAGACGCAAATTAATACATCTATTGCGCCCTTGAAAATTGGCACCATAAGACTAGTTTCATCCTTCTCTATCCACACTCTGCTTTTGCCATTCTTGGGCTGGAAGAATTTCGGGACATA